TTTTTTTGTTTTGTTTTGTTTTTGGTTTTTTTTGTACAGGCTAAGATCATGGAAAAGGGGCAGTTCTTGTCCTGGGCATGCTGGATGATGCCCCAAACAGGCTGTGTTTCAAGCCCAACAGGCTGGTTTTTACCCAATAACTCTCAGTGATTCTCTCCAACTGCAGCACTCCATCTCTCCATCTCCTCTCTGTTCTACATCTTTTAAGGGGGCGAGTCCCATCTGCTTCAAACAATACAGCACAAGGCTAGGAAATATTAATGCTCCACCATAATCTGTGTGATTTAACTTTCTGAGGCTGTGTAAGCGGTAAAAAGGAAACTCTCAAATTTTAACCATGTTCAAAAGAGAATGTGAGTCCAGAGCAGGAGCTTTTTTGATTGCAGATGCTCCCCAGAGCAATCCCTGACTTCATGCTCCCTAGCTCAGACAATCAACAGAACAGGTCCCAATGTATGATATTTATTTGCCTGTTTTACCCTAACTCTGTGAATTGGGAGCATCTCTCCTTTTTTGGGTATTTACTGCTTCCATTGTTCCAGGGAAAACTTTTCAGAAGCAGGAAAAGAGACCCCTGTAGGATGCCACATGTAGAAGATGCATTTGTTGCAGCACCAGCTGACAAGCACATCTCTTGCCACAAGAGAAAGGAGAGAGCGGGCTTGCTTCTCCATTAATCAGAGTTAATTTATTTTTGATGTTTTAGGGCCTCCCAGGAGTAATACCTATAGTTCCAGGCTTAGTTTCTAGTTAGTAGCTCAGTGACCTCATTAAATAGGTCCATCCCAATTTCAAGATGATGTCCCTGCAGCCCTGCCTAGGATCCCTGGTGGCTGCCAACCTGTCAGCCTCTCTGCCCTGGACTAGGTGCAAGGGGGAGCATTGCTGGTTTACAGCTGTGACAGAAGTGATGGCACAGGGACCACAAGCCCTCAGCTTGGGAAGAAAATAAATCTTTTCCCAGCACCCAAGGTGTGGTGGACAATGGAGGGGCAAAGGTACAGAAGCCTGAGGTGTTGAGGAACCACTTTTTACTGGAAGTGGATATAACTTGGTCTGGAGAAGATGGCTCAAGAAACAGCAACCAATAGCTAGATAGGGGTCTTATCTAGAAAACATGTTTTCAAATCTTTCTATGCTCCATTATGTGTAAGAAAGGGCATCCAAGGATGCCCCATGTATCTGCATCATTGAGCTTTCTCAGAAATACAATATACTCTGACAAATGACACTTATGTCTGGGCCATCCCTAATACCACCACACTGGATTTTCCCTTTTCAGGAGCAAGTCTGTCCAAGGGCTCCTTATTTTTCTCCCTCTGAGATAAACAGAATTATTATCCCAGGTTAATAAATTTCAGATTTGACATGAAGATAAAGGATTGAGGTAATTCAGAGTTTTGGGATTACAAAGTACAAATTGCCTGGATTTATTCCAAAAGCAGTTGTTTTGTTTCCCTGATAGAGCCTGGCTGGGAAGGTATTTTCCATCCTGTCTGAAAAGTTTGCAACTTAAAAGTACCTGTAATGTAACTCTATCACTTTGTCACCTTCAATGTCCTAAAAAATCATTTCATACCCTTCATAAACTCATCTGAAGCAAGTATCAGTCTCCAGTTTTCATACTTGGACAGAAATATGAAGTGTCAGAGAGTCTGCATTGGAAAGTGGCTTTAGCAAATTAACAGGAATTGCCTTAGTTTTTCAGGTAAGGTCAAGAAATCTCAACTCTAAATAGATGCCCCTAATAGACAATTACAAAACCTAGGGTAACATTTAAAAATTTGTGTGTAACTCGTGTACTGGTAAATTTGACTGTAGTGTATTTTGTTGGCCAAATATCTGGAGTTGTATTAAAGCAATCACGGAATCAATTGGGTAGTAAAAGACCTCTCAGGTCATTGAGTCTAAACCTTTACTTTTCACCACTTGTCAACTAGACCATGCACTAAATGCCATGCTCAGTCATTTCTTGAGCACCATCAAGGATGATGATGATTCCACCATCTCCCTGGGCAGTCCATCCCAATGTTTAACAACCCATTCCATTAAGAAATTTTGACAAATGTTCAGTCTAGTCAAAACTGGTTCCAAGTGGTTCAAACTGTTTCAAACTGGATCCAGCTGGTTAAACTGGATCAAAACAGTTGCAACCACTTCAAACTGATTCTAAAAAATTCAAACCGGATTAAACTGATTCCAATAATTTCAGACTTGATTCAAATTCAATCAAACCAGTTCCAGCTGGTTCAAACCAGATCAGACTGGTTCCACTTGGTTCAAACCTGATTCCAATGGTTCAAGTGCCACAATACTCTCTGCAAAGAATTTCAAAATTTGATTGATGACTTTGGAGCAGAGATAGTCAGGTCCGCTGTGTTACTGGGTCCCCTGTGGGCTGTGATGTCAGCAATGCTGTTTGAAGAAGGCAAATAACCTCTTCTGTGCTTTGATAATTGCCTGTAAGAATTCGCTAACCAGTCCTCTCATGGAGTGTTGTGTTCCTAGGCAAGTACTGTCAACTCTGGCCAACTGACCCGAGGACTCATTTTCCACACAAATGACAGTAAGGGATGTGGATTTGAGCTTCCCACCAGGTGACGATGATAGCCAAGATGCTCTCAGCTACTGCCACCCCCCTTACGCAGCATGGCGCGGTTGAGCATGGCTGTGTTTTGCGTGCTCCTGCATGAGCTGTTTGCAGTTCAGGGGAGCATGTGGCACACACACCTGCTTTTGGCTGTGCCATTCCCCCAGGCTCTGCCATGCTGCTCTTATTTTATGAGAGCCCAGCGCAACACAATCCAAAAAGCAGGTGTGTGACAAACCTCTCACTTCACTGACGTGCCTGCCCCAAGCTATCAAGTACTGCAGTTCGCTCTCACAGTTTAGATAGGCAATTACCTCCTCTGTGGTTGCTGTGTGTGATACTGGGGATCAGCAAATGAATCTACCCTTCTGATATCTTACATTTCAAGAGCAACACAGCGTCATTTCCAGTAAAAACTTCTGAGTGTTTTTTTTTTTTTTCATGCTGAGAATAACTATTTGAGTGGAACTGTGGTCCAAGGAAAATTTCTTTCATATCTGTTGAAATTTAATAAAACAACTGTGTTTCATCTTCCAGAATCACTATTTTGTCTGCGTATTTATGGAACCAGATTTTCCCAAGTTCACCCTTACTTATGCCCTATGGAGTGTGCTAAATTTTCAGTCTTGGCATTATGCTAGCAAGTCCATGGATCAGCATAT